AGGAAGGATTTCTTCCAAAAGTGATATGTGGTCACTGGGTGTCATCTTGTATATTCTCCTCTCCGGGTACGATAACTACTTTTCTTGGATAGTATCATATATCTTGTGGACTACCCTTGCCACTTTAACTGCATATGATTTGAAGTCTTTATTTATGGAGTCTTGGAGCGACTGATACCAATACCTATACCACTCGGTCTTATATGAAGCAACGCATTCAGTTTCTAGGTCTGGTGATTTTCGGTGTAATTAACTACTTTCACTTGATACATGTTTGATTTTATTGGAATTACACCAGTGACCCTGATACCACTTTGTTAGATAGAATGAATTGCGCAGAGCTATTGCTGTCGAAGAAGTATGGTTTATAAATGGAAGCATGAGACTCCTTACATAGGCAATTTACATACATAAATTTCTACAATACATTCAATGGAACTATCAATTTATATACTTGTTCTAGACTAATACTTCAAACTTACACAATAATGCATGAATATACTTTGAACCTATACAATTGACTCTTAATATCACGTGTCTAATAGATGAGTGTGTAGTGAAATATACTCTAGAAGAATCTAGATTATTCATACACCAAAGGAAGACATGGTTAAGTTAGCATAGATCGCAACACGCCACTTTTTCCCGGATGCTTTAGTAAAAGGAATTGTCAATGCTGTTGATAAAAGTTGTCATACTATCAAAAAGGTGGGAGAAAAATGCTTTTAGTTTTTTATTTTTTCCCAGATGCCACTTTCCAAATGTGGTACCTATAAAACTCAACAACAAAAAATTTTCTTGCCATTATGATGCCTCACATCAGACAATAAATGAAGTTCTTGTTTCTGACAATCACCAACCTGTCTACCAGAATGCTTGCAAGGCTACTTTAATTTTCTTTTTATTTTCATTGCTCTTCTACTTAATCTTATTTCATAAATATTCGGAGGAAAAAACAAATATTTGGAATCTTACAATTGCAATTCCAATCCCAAATTGTTCACACTAATTATTATTTTAAAATTTTAAAAAGTACGGGTCCATCATGTAAGTATTTTGTGTCAATTTCCTTTTTTTTTAATCTTTTTTTCAATTATGTCATTTTTGTTCCTTAATCTATAAACATAGTTTTTTTTTTTTTTTATTGGACCAAAGTGACAAAAATTGCATACTTAGCGGAATATTAAATTTTTTGCCCTTATTTTTATCTTGAGATTTTCATAAATTTCTGTTATCTCAGGTACCCACCATTCATCGCCCAGTCAAATCGGCAAAAGCAACAAATGATAATGGCTGTACGTTCATCTTATTTGTACAGTTAATATACAGTGGATCTGTCGTTCTCTGTTTCTTTACAATTCAATTAAATTTGTCTGCTTAATGCAAATTGAACATGCCTCTCTTGCAGGGAGACTTCAGCTTCTATGAAAAAACATGGAAAAACATTTCTTACTCAGCCAAGCAATTAATCTCCGGTCTCCTGACAGTTGATCCTCACAGAAGACCAAGTGCTGAAGAGGTAGGCACAAGTACTCATCACAGAGTTGTATGTATCATTATGTATCTAAGCTAAGAAAGTCAACAAGTTAAGTAGTTGTTCTGTACACGGTTTCAATTGGAACAGGAGATGGTCCTAGAGAAGTGAGAAGTACTTCTAGTTCTTTGAGCATCAAAACTAACTAAAAACTATAATTCAAAATCATGGAATAGAGCTTTAATCCCTCCGTAATGGGTCTTGTTGTGTTAAGTTTTTAAATCGTGTGAATTGTGTTTTGTTAGAATTTGCTCAATCTATACCCAATCCATTTTTAGTCGTGCAGGATCAGTAGAGTTCGTGTCGATTTACTTTACACAAAAGTCATTCATGCTAATTTCGAGTCGATTTCATGTTGGAGACCAGTGTTAAAATTATAATCCTTCCCCCAGGGGGTTTTCCTTGTGAAAACATTTTTGCTCAACATCGCATTTTGTGATCAAAATATGACCAAATTTTAAATGCTTCACCAATTCAAAGTGAAGTTTTAACTAATTCCATAGTTTCAAATAGATTTTTCAACATCCAAATCACAGAAGAAGCTTTCATCTCTCCTAATCTAAGATTGTCAATAGGACAGGTCGTTTTTGGTTTCTAAATCCCTTGGATCATGTAAAATATTAGAAATTAATATATACTGATATATAAATGAGTTTGCAAGTGGGGATTGTGTCAATCCACTTTCTAAGTTGATTTGATTGGTCAAACCGTTTATGGCCCAAACTCATTAAGACAAATACAATGCTTAGGTAATCTAAAAGCCTAACATGTTTCATTTTGTAAATAGATTCTTCAACATCCGTGGGTCATTGGAGATTCGGCAAAGGGAGAACAAATAGATGCTGAGATTGTCTCACGATTGAAGAGCTTCAATGCACGGAGCAAATTACGTGCTGCTGCATTAGCTAGCTTGTGTTGCAGTGCCTTCTTTTCGAGGACAAGGAATTTGAAGAACTTAGTTGGTGGATATGACCTTAAACCAGAGGAGCTAGAGAATCTCAGTATGCATTTCAAGAAAATGTAAGTACCCACATGCCTTTAATTTATGGGGGTAGGTCTAAGATACCCTAAACTTGCTTTTTGGTGAATGGTATAGATAATATTGGGAAATAAGGTAAAGTTACTACTCAATTTTATGAAATTAGTATAAAATGAGGTCGTTTGGGATTGAGATCTCAACTTTTTTGTAACTTGTTTAAATTTGCGGGCATTAAATGTATGTATTTTATTACACATGGACGGTTCCATCCAAAATATTATGTATTTTTTGTTTTGGGGCTGTGTGAGATAAATTCAAGTAGTTGGTGGGGTAATGTGAAAAAAATTTAATAACTGGGGACATTTGACAACTGAATTTGAGACAATCTTTGAGTCTGTTAAAGTGTGATTCTTCCTCCAGAAGTTGCAATGGACTGATTATTACATGGGCTAAATTTTTATGAGCTTGAGCTCATGGCTTTGAAACACCAAGTTATCTAAAAGAAGCAAAAAAAGGGACCAAGTTTAATCTGATGTGTCCTTCATGCTCACATGAGCCCTGGTTTGTTTGATCACTAAGAATTCTGATGGAGATCAGTTTTTGACAAAGTGCAGATGTGCAGATGGAGAAAATGCTACTCTATCTGAATTTGAGGAGGTGCTCAAAGCCATGAACATGTCATCATTGATCCCTCTAGCATCCCGCATCTTCGATATGTTTGACAACAACCGGGATGGGACTGTTGACATGAGAGAGATCCTCTGTGGCTTCTCCAGCCTCAAGAATTCGCAAGGCGATGATGCACTCCGTATGTGCTTCCAGGTGCAGTCTCCCTTCTTTTGTGGTCACACACGTGCACCCGATTAAACCCGACTAGAGTTGAGGTGATGTATTTTAGATATTACTTGAAGACGAAAATGTCTTGTGAATTTAGCAATCAATGAAGGTTAGCTTAAAGTGTGGTTGAAATACATATTAAAGCAATCTCCTACAATACTGGGTTCTTTTGTGGCTTTCTTTTGGTCATCTGTTGTGCTTAAAGTTTTAGAAAATTCCGGTCACAACCAGTCCCCTATCACAACCAATCCGATAGTGCACTTAGTCAACCTTAAAAATGAATGAAGATTTTTTTTTTCAATAAATTAATAAGTGCTAATTTATTTTTGTTTTTTGTTTGTTTGGCCATCAGATGTACGATACAGACCGGTCTGGTTGCATCAGTAAGGAGGAAGTAGCATCCATGCTCAGTGTAACTTATCTTTCCCTGTCAAAACAAGTTACTTCACAGGTTTAAGTTTTTCAATTGTTCCTGACATGTATCTGCTAATTTTAATGTGCAGGCCTTGCCTGATGAGTATCTTCCGATGGATATAACAGAGCCAGGGAAATTGGATGAAATATTTGACAGAATGGATGCCAACAGTGATGGAAAAGTTACCTTTGATGAGTTTAAAGCAGCCATGCTAAGGGATAGCTCTCTCAAAGATGTTGTCCTTTCCTCTCTTCGTTCAAAGTAGTTTGGTGTTATCTCTCACCTCTTCCTTCTCCTAGCTCGGATTTCAGGAGCAGGAACCGAGAAGGTATCAACAACAACTGATTTTATTACGGAATGTAGCATTTGGTAGGCCTCATACAATAACTGCCCTAGCTCAGCCATATGTTTCGTTTCATTTCTTTTGGTACACCTATGAAGTCAGCTCTAATCACTTACTGGCTTTTTTTCAAACTTTTTTTGAACATTCTTGTTTTAGGCAGGCAACAATAGGAAATCTGTGACCAGATCAGCAGGGCAGAACTTTTTTACAGTATTAACTGACAAGTCACAATTGTTTCACCATTTTTCTTTATGATTTTGCAACCATTTTTGTTTCTTGGAGTTTACAGTTTTATTTGCTTTTTCATGATTGTGGTGGGAAAACAGGAAAGACTCCATCTAAGAACCAAAACCATATAGGGATTGGAGTACCTTGAATTTGTTTGGGGGGTCCTAAATGTATTCTAAACATCTTCTGATTATCAACTTATAAATATGAAATTATAGAAGAAAATAATAAGACAGCCCAATACACGATACTCTAGGTGAAAGTCGAATCCACCGGGACCCCACTAAACCGGCTTTCCTCAAACGCCCATTAACTAATCACCACCATAAACCCACTCCAATACTACAAATTGCGACCAACACCATAAAACCACACCCACACCCACACATTTCAGAGAGAGAGAGAGACCACTGCATGCAGGGGTTAATGAGGGTGTGGACTGACTCCTTCGGCTTGGTGGTTGAGGTGAGTAGTTCGAGGTTAGATGGGCTGGTATTTAGGGTCAGGGGGGAGGAGGATTGTGAGCACACTACATGCAAATAAGAAACGCCTGGCAAGCCTACCTTTAGCTTGGTCTGCCAATAAACATGACTAATCTAATAACAACTTCTAAAATAAGAATGAGAGAGAGAGAGAGAGAGAGAGTTTTTTTTTGTTTGGGGGGGGGGGGGGTTGACCTACTCTTTTAATGATGGGAGAATAAAAGAATAAAGGGGAAGAAAAAACGAAAGATATGTAGAATGTTTCCTATCAGACACACAACAAACCTCAACACCAAAGCTGACCAAACTCCGACAAGCCCACAAGGTCCAAGGTTCCAAACCTTCCAAGAAGACTTAGACATTGCAAGAAACTGAGGTGGTTGTCGAAGAAGACGATGATGAGGGCGACAAGGATGATGGAGAAGTTTCCTCATCCCTCTCGACCAAAACATCAGGTTGGATCCCCCAATCTGTACTATCCCACAAACCAACCTGGTCAAACTCATTTTCAATGCAAGGTTCATCGAATATGAAGCCTAGATCCTCAAAGACTGGGTCATTAAACAAATCTGCTAACTCGCCCGGTCTCTCGTTTGGAAAATCGGGGACCGGAAGCAAATTGAATCCGTTATCCAAGCCCAAGCTCCATGGGTGCTTGTGCTCATCCGTGGGATCCATATACTGCATTGTGTCGGACTCGAGGGAAGGTATGAGCGGCAAGTTTTTGGGTTTCTGCAATGCCACTTGTTCTTTTTCTTTTTCTTCTTCTTGATCTTGTTGATGTGGCTGATCATGGTCTTGTTGCTCATCTGCTTGTGCTTCAGTGGAGGAATCAGGATTTTGCTGTTGAGTTTCCTCGATTTTTTTCCAGTGGTCCGCATACATGCTAATGTCAAAATTGGTCACTGCATTCATCCCTCTGTACTGTAATGCTGCAATGTCATATGCTGCTGCTGCTTCCTCTTGGGTGCCTTAATCATGAACAAAATCAGATAGTATGAATAAATAAGATTGCATACATATGCATAAATAAATCCATGATCACAATGTAGTTCACTGCCCAAAAGGATGAGATTTTGAATTGGAAACCATGGGTGAGGCTATTAATCAAACCGAGCTACTTGAGTTCGGCTTATTTTTTAAATGAATCGAATTTGAATAATTTTTTAGGCTCGTATGAAAAATGAGTCCGACAGACTTGACTTGAACTTGATAGACTCATCTTGTTTATGTGCAAATACTTAGGCTTGGCTCGGGTTCGAATCGTTTTGGACTCATTTACACTCAGCTTGTTCAGAAAATGAGTAGAAGTTAAACAATTTTTTTAGCTCGGCTAAGAACTCGTTTAACTATCAGTCTTAGTCACAGGTCTGCAAAAAATGTTTTGAATTCTTTTTGCCGGTAAGTATGCCTAACCTTCATCGACTAGGCAACTCTAATTTCTTTGGTGAAAAAGTGATTTGAGACGCAATCAGTCTAAGCAAATAAATAATATATTACTTTAAGGAAAAAGGAAAATAAATAAAAGAATGAATCCTAAAGCTAACCTAAATATAAAGATTTATCAACAATCTTCACATCCTGGTTCCATTTATAGAACACGCCCTTTAAATTGCAACACTTGTAGGCAGGGCACAGAGCACGGATTTTAGAATTTTCAATTTAGGTGGTCAATGTAGAATAGAAAACACTATAAATGTTGATTAATGGGGGATAAATGCGAAATTTAAAAATTTCCGGCAGGGCACCTCCGTAATTGCAGAAATTAATGTGTAAATTAAGGGGTATGAAGGCAATTCAAAGAAATAATGTTGTGTTGTATGCCACTACTTGGTCAGACAATGCCAAACTTTTGCTGCTCCAAGTAAGCTAACAACTTTGTCGGTAAACAACATAAGATATAACGAGCAACAAATTTATTACCGACAAATCAAGAAGTTTCTTCCTACATGCTGACTTAACAATCAATTCGTACTAACATCAATAAGATTTAGTCGAGAACTTCAAATTTTGCAATAAGAGACAAATTGACAAACTTAACAATCAATTTGTACTAACATCAATAAGATTTAGTCGAGAACTTCAAATTTTGCAATAAGAGACAAACCGGCAAAACCTTAATCTAACACCAACGATAACCCAAAAAAATCGATATGATTATGAGGCAACAACAAAAAGTAAACGATGCAATTATGGATTCGCAGCAAATCTTAATCAACATATCGACAATAACCAAAAATTTTTGATGTGATTGTTAGGAAACAACAAAAAGTAAACATGTAGTTATGAATCACTTCACCTAAATTAGTTGGGATTGTTGACATAGAAAATGGCCCGCTAAATAAATAAATGTAAATACAAGTCGTTGGCAGGAGGGAGTTGGCTCAACTAATGTATGTGTTTGTGATCATCACTGCATGCAGGATGGTGCTAAGTCAAATTTCCAAAGCAAAAATGTTGAGCAAATTACGAAAAGAGCCCTGCGATGCGATGGATAGCATTGACGTACTAGAAAAAAAAAAAACTAATAAGTCTTTATTTATATTATTGAATCCTATCGAAATTTTATGAGGACAATTAATTTATACTTTTTTTAATATAATTTCAACGAAGTCTTTGACATTTTGTTACAAATTTTCTTGTGTCCATTAGCTCTTAATTACGAAAAGTGCCATTATACTAAAATTCATGCAATTCAAAAATAATAAATCCGTAATACTACTTTGAATCCAAAAATAAAATCTTTTGATGCCCGTTATTTCTTAATTACGAAAATGCCATTATACTAAAAGTCATAAAATTCAAAGGTAATAAATCCCTAATACTACCTTGAATCCAAAAATACTTTTTTAGGAAGTTAGGAGAATAGTCTGAATTGTAATTATTTTTATTAGTACGACATTGATTCTATAAAAAAATAAAATAGTAAATTTCAATAGTTTGTCAAATATCGTACAAAATCATATACATGGAGTGGCGAACCCTCTCGGAGAAGTCGCGTTACATTCATCATCATAGATCAACCAAGCTTAGAGAAGTAGGGTACTGACCAAAAAAGGAATATTTATTTTTACAAAGTTCATCAGAAAGGCTACTTTACAAAAGGGTCTCTCTAGAATAAAAAAATAAAACCACAGTCAGCATGTGCCATGTCAACTTTAAAAGCCTATTAGACTGTTTTGGAGTGGTTGAGAATGGTGAATATCCAATTCCTGAAACTTTTAAGTAGTAATATTTATTTATAAACATTATAATAATTAACTCAATCCAAAGTTAGAAACATGAACACATCTTCAATGGATTCTCTGAAAAGCCAAGTCTGCCATTAAATTTAATACAATTAGGCAAAGATATTTTATTTTCTTTAGATCAAGGAGGCAACAATAAGTAGACCCGATTCAATATTGGGGACCTAAAAATATAACTCGTGCGGGATTGGATAAGTTGGGCGGTTAACCGGGGCTCAATGCAAGTTAGAAAATTTCAATCCAAATTCAACTCAAAATCGTATTCAACTCAGGTCACACAACTTAATCTTCAATTCAAGTTGAATAAAGGTTCAACCCAGATTAAGCCCAAATTTGATTCATAAACCACACAACTAATGCTACAATTAAGGTTCCAATCACGTTGTACCAAGATTTACTAGTTCGGATTGGATCCTGAGAACTCGAAAACCTCAATCCAAATATTGTCTAAATTTAAATAAAAATATGATTTTTTTACCCAACTTTAACTCCGAGCGCTTAAACCGAACCTCATTAATTGGGTGGCCGGGGTGGGACAAAAATGAGCATAAAAGACAAACAAAAGTCAGCTAAATGTGATTTAAGAGTTGTGATGCAGGGAAAGTAGAGATTGAAGAGAGATGGAAGTGTTAATAATTGCTACCATTACTGCACTTGTAAGAAATAGATGGAAAGAGGGCATACTATAAGTTCCCAAGTAGAGATATTTGTTTCCAAAAACTCGTCCAATTCGCGCCTCCCATCGTCCATTGTGGTGGTGCCTGTCATATCCAATAATATGCATGGGTCAAATTGTAAATTTCTTAAACAAATAAAAAATTCGATTCCCCACCCATCATTTTGTTGGTAAATACAATAGGACCCTCGAATTGTGTATTCCCCTTAACTAAAAATTATTTCAATTTAATACTTAAACAACGTAAACGTATTAACCATCCCCATTCATCCTAATTTTCTTTTAAACAAAAGGACAAACTTGAAAGCTTATTCCAATAATTCCCCTTTTTTTTCACCTTTATGTTTTAATTATTTTAGTTAAGTCTTTAAACAATGTAAATCATAGCAATCAGTTTTTCTTCTGTTTGAGAGAATTTTAAAACTAGAGACATTGTTCAAGTACCAACAAAGAAATTGAGGGTCTATAATCAGCCAAAATACCCTTGAAGAGTAGCAAGTGTTACACTAGTTATGGTTTTCCGACATTGATTTGGATAACAGTTTGTGCGATGGACCACATTGGACCAATGTATACACCTAGCGGACTAAAGTGACAAAATCAAAACTTTAATAACCAAAGTTTAATTAGTGGTAAAACCTGTTAGTGTGTGCGTGTATATCCACATGTTCACTTTTTTTTTTTCTCTCACATGAAAAGGATGAAATCCTCATGGGTCCCACCCAACCACAAGGTGTGAAAAAATGCGTGAAACTACCTTCCCATTTTTTAAAATATATATTTTTTAATTGTTAATTTAATTTTAAAATAAAGTTTACCTTGCCACACCCCGGTACTTAGAAACACCTCTAGAAAATCCACTACTCTTCCGCCGCAGCGTAGCTAGATACTCTTCCTTGGACAGCTTCTCCATTTCTTCAATTTCTTTATTATATCTTTCCACCTGCATTTCAACCAATTTTAATACTTAAAAAACTAAGGTGGGCATTTATAATAATAAACACTATTATTCATGGTCCAAAGTCAAAGTATCAAACGACACTTGCACGACTCGGTCGATCCGTATCGATAGCGACACACTCGACTCAGTGATAGACTCAAGAACATCTAGACGAATCAATCGAGCCATCATAATCAAATCACTAAATATCATCTGCTATCATTTTTTGACGTCACGATATAGACTGAATCTCTTATTATGTCCAATTTTTTTTTTGAGAATCGATGATTAATACTGTAATTTTGAAATATGAATTTATAGTAGCTCTGATATACAATAAATATGATGCCAATATTTAAATTGATCTTAGAAAGTGAAGGCCACGATGAATTAATTACCGAAAAATTCAGTGTGGTGTCTGGTCCCCAATACTTGAGGGCGGCAAGGTCGTAGGTGCGAGCCGCAGCTTCCTCATCTTCATAAGCTCCTACATTCAACAAATTGAGAATGACATTTAGGTATATAAAATGCACCGCAAGAGAGCCCCATGACCCACAACGAATTACTGAAAACAAGTATTATTATCCCCTCAACTTTTAATTATCTCAATTCGAACGTTAAAGTTTAGACGAAAAGACTGATTACTAAATTATAATTATCTCAATTCGAACGTTAAAGTTTAGACGAAAAGACTGATTACTAAATTAAAATAATTGAAAGTTGAGAGAACATTTTGAAACCGAGATCATAATCGGAGGATCATCTATGATATATAACCAGAATCAAATACAAGAAAATTAGAAGAAATAAAAAAAGGGAAGAGGGTAAGAGAGGGTGAGCTTACCCAAATAAACTAATCAGCGACAAAAGTGATTGTGAACGTTGCAATGGCAGGGATGAATGATCAAGAACAAAAAAAGAGTCAGAAACATAAAACAAATCAAGTACTAACCTAGAAGAGGGAAAACAAAAATAGTTAATTAAGAGATTAAAACAATAAAAGAGAGATTTCAGATCTCCTTTGTTTTTGCAAAATTTTATAATCAAGAAAACAAATCTAAGTCAAAACAAAAAAAAAAAAAAAAGGAATTCACTTTGTCTTCCTTTCTTGTTCTGAATGCTGTTCCAAGTGCTCTTGTCCCATAGATGTGCTTCAAACCTTCCTGTCCATCTATGCCTGTTTCCATACACCCAAATCTCAATGCATGAAATATGTGTGTGTGTTCATATATATATATATATATATGAGAGAGAGAGAGAGAGAGAGAACAGAGGCAGAGCTAGTTGGTGAGTAGTGACCCATCTGGAAATGGAGCTTCTGATCACTACAAAATGTACATGCATGTATGTGTCGAGATGTGTGTGTGTGAGAGAGAGAGATACCTGGTGACCCCTCTGTAAATGGAGCTTCTCCTGACTGAGGTGGGAGATTCACCACCATTGATCTTGCAGTTCTCTGACTTGAGGTTTTTCTTAACTCTGGGACGCTTGGTCTTGGGCTGGTCTGATTGGTGAGGCTGATTAGACTCAGCTAATGAAGATGACAATGAAGAAGAAGAAGGAGACCGCTTCATCTGGATGTTCTTTCTTTCTCTCTCTTCAAGTGACTTCTTAATATGGATAGAGAGAGAGAGAGAGAGAGATACTGAGTTGTGTGTGTGATGAGAGTGAAGGACTTATGACAGGGATGGTTGGGTAGTTCTAGAATCTAAAGGCATTTTTTTCTGGTAAACCAAAAGTGGTTTACCAAAACTAGAAGAAACAGGGGAGAGAGAGAGCGAGAGATAGAGAAATTGAAGCTTGGGTGGTGTTGTAGGAGAGACCATCCCATTGTTGAACCATGGTTTAATGTTGGAGTTGGGTTTGTTAAACCAAGGTTAAAGTTAAACCAGGTGTCTTAACACTTGGCTTAATTCTCAGCCTTGCTGCCAATTGGGTGTGTTCTCTGCTCTGGCCCTGGGAATCTCTCTCTCTCTCTCTCTCAATTTGAAACAAATTAGAGAAAATTACATTTTAACCCCTATCAGTATGGTTCCCGACTCACATTGCCTATAATTATCATATGATTCACATTAAACAGTCACTCTAACTACTAGTTTATATTAGTCGATGACTAACCTTCATTAAAAATTTGATAAAAAAAAAAAAGTCTTACTCGACCTCTGAACCATGTTATTTCATTTCATTTCGCATTGATAGATGGAAATTTTTGTTCAAAAACAACGTAATTTTGCTCTTATGGCAATTTGAGACCAATTTAAATAATCAAGAGTACGATGTGAGAAATTCAATAGATGTGAGAAATTCAATAAAGAAAGTGAGAGTGAGGTCATAATTCAAAGGGTCAAAATATAATTTACTAGCACTGTAACAACAACGGCCATCAGACTTTTTAACCATGAGTCAATGGTGGAGTGGGTTTATTAAACCTGGGTTAAAGTTAAACCAAGTGTCTCACACTGGCTTAAGACTCAGCCATGCCACCAATTGGATTTGTCCTCCGCCTTGGCCCTTTATGTTAATGGGAATCTCTCTTTCTCTCTCCTTGAATTTCAAAAAAAAAAAAGAAAAATAATTTATTGAATAAATCACTCACAAATATTGAATTCATAATAAATTTTCAATACTCTTTCAGACCCACTATTAATCTAATAATTATACATAAAGCTTAAATAATATTATCTAATTATTGGTTATTTAGTGGGGCTTTGTATGAAGAATATTTTTGTTTTGTTTTGTTGTCCTGTTTTTAAATGGTCAAGATTATTTAGACTAACTTACACACACTTCGACTAATCCTTTTTTTTATTCGGTCAGAAACAAATTATTCACGTCGAGATTAAAATATTCATGAGGAATAAATTTCTTATGACCTGACCTCAAAGAGTTATTAAATCTTAAACTCAAAACATCTCAATTTATAATTCGTATCTATTACCACTTAAATTATGCTTTCTGATGGGTCAAGCCCAAAATTGCCCATTCTATGTGCAAAGTCCAAATTCCAATTGAGAAGCCCAACCTAATTTAAAGATCTACCAAACCCAACATAGCTCAAGACCAGTCAAACTCTTTGCTTAGCCACGTCATCAAGGGGAGAGAGCATGAGAAGTCTTACCTGCACCGCCAAAGAAAACGGTCCACCCTCACCATATCTTTGACCACGTCTCATGGAGAGCCTCTCAACCATCTCACCCGTTGAGAAGAAGTCGTTAAACTCCACCGAAATAGTTGCTCAATTACTGTAAAATAGCCCCAACTTGTTAGGGAACTACTATAAATTGCACGCCCCACCAACACTTGGGGAGACCACACTGATTTCTTGGAGACCACACTAATTACTTGGGCATCACACTTTCCCTGAGCACGACTCTCTCCTCTCCCTCAAAACTTATACTTTCTGCTCTCAACACCCTTAAATTAATAAAAGACCCGACAACTAGAGTCGTTCAAGAGTGGACGTAGGTCGAGTTGACCGAACCACTATAAATTATTTGTGGCTCTCCATCTTCTTATATTATTTCTTGCATTTATTATTTACACTCGACAGGTGGTATGCAAAACTATTTTGTGCATTATTAGTTTGACACCGTCTGTGAAAAAAGACAAAAATTCTCACTTAAAAACATTTCATTTACTGAATCAATGACGATCATTACCAGATTCATGAACCAATCTGAAGACAATCCTCCACGAGAGGAGGAGGTTACTTCTCCACCTACTAACCTTGCCCCAAATGCTCCAACTCCAAATCCACAACAAATATTGGAGACCATGCAGCAGCTGATGGCCCAAAACTAGTAGATACTGAAACTCATGCTCACCGGACAAGGAGGAGCACAACTAGGAGCTCCACGCCCTGCACATCAAACAACTCCACAACTTATTGTTCCCCATTTGGGCACCCCCTTTGGAGTTCCCTTGGGTGCCCCTCATAGGGGAGCTCCCCACGAGGGATCTCCACCTCCTTTTCCAGCTCTTTTTTCTCATGGTGGAGGCTTTCTTTTTCAAGAGGACAAGGGTGAGAACCAGAGCATGGAGTATGAAAGCCATTTCCAAGATAATTTCAAAGGAGCTCCCAACCACTGGAACGAAAAAATAAAAGAGGTACAAAATCAACTAGGTGACATTTTCAACACTATAAAGGCACAGAGACCTGAGACAGTGGACTACCTTGTAAGTCGAATCGACACACCCTTCGTACTTATCGTGGCGAACTACCCACTTCCCAAGAAGTTTAAAATGCCATCCGTTGAAACCTTTGACGGTATGAAAGACCCACTTGATCACCTCGAAACTTTTAAGACCTTGATGCAACTACACAACGTCCCCAACGAAATTATGTGTAGGACATTCCCAACTACCTTGAAGGGATCAGTGCAACAATGGTTCGCCAAACTCACCCCGGCTTCCATAGGCTCCTTCGCCGAATTGAGCAGATCGTTTGTGACACAATTCATTGGTGGACGCCGCCAGCAGAAGCCGGTCATCCATCTGCTTAGCATAAAATATGATCGAAATAAGAGTCTAAGGAGTTACCTCACTCGTTTTAACGAGGAAGTCCTCCAAATCGAGGAACCCAATGACAAAGTCACCATGACTACCTTTCTGGGAGGCCTCTGCTCATCCAGATTCCTTTTTTCAGTAATGAAGTAACCACCAAAGAGCATGCCAGAATTATTGACAAAAGCTCAAAAAAATATGAATGCTGAGGAAATCAACAGGTTTAGGCAAGGTGAATCATCTCGCAGATCACCAGAAGCTTGACCTGCCTCTACACTGTTCTCAAACAGACAGCTTATCTCCAACTTAGCGGCTCTCTCACGGGTCCCCAAAAAAACTTGGCCCCTGCACTATTCTCAAACAGTCAGCCTATCTCCAGTTTAGCGGCTCTCTCGCGGGTCGCCAAAAAACTTGGTCTCTGCACTGTTCTCAAACAAGTAGTCTATCTCCAGCTTAGCGGCTCTCTTGGAGTCGTCAAAAAAGCTTGGCCTTTGCACTGTTCTCAACACATGCAGCTTATACCTCAAGCTTAAAGACTCCTTCATGGGTCGCCAAAAGCTAAGTCTCAAAAGGTGTAGCTCTCTCACGAGCAGTTCTCCAACTTTGTCTTTGCTCTCGCGCAAGCAGCCTACCTCTTTCTCTCGAGGTAATTATGTGAGATATTTTAATGTTTGAAATAACATTATTTTTGTCATCGCAAGCAAGCTCGCCCAACTCAGCCCGACGGCACAGCACGGTCGGAGGAATGCGATAAGTAAAAACAAGCCTCGAGATATCTTTATCTAAACGGAACAGGTTGGAAAAGGTACTCACCTTAGACCCATCGTCATCAAGTCCCAATTTGCTTTTTCGCTTCTTCTTTCGAGGCGGCAAGGAGTGGCCTAGGTCATCCTCTTGAGAGGTTTGGATTTGAGAAGTCACATTTGAAAGAGTCGTATCGTGATGACCAAAAATGGCACCTAAAGCTCCCTCGTCGCCTGCAGTGTCTAGCCCAACACTTGGAGGGGTGCCTGAGCTGCCTTTGCTCGTGACCCAGGTCATCCTCTTGAGAGGTTTGGATTTGAGAAGTCACAATTGACGGAGTCGTATCGTGATGACCAAAAGCGGCACCTAAAGCTCCCTCGTCGCCCTCGTCGCTTGTAGTGTCTAGCCCAACACTTGGAGGGGTGCCTGACTACCTTTGCTCGCCAAAACGGAGCTGCCCAATAGCTGGAGAGGTGCCTAACCCTTCAAAATTGCACAAAACAGTATTTTTGGCACACAAAACAGCATTTTTGGCACCAAAATCAGCAACTATGGTGTCCAAATCAGCGCCTGGAGCGACGCTCAGATTTGCCCCTGCACCCAGGCTATTGCCCAGCTCTCTCTGCTGCACCTTGGACTGATTTCCTGCATTTTTCGCTGAAGAAATGTTGTTGCGTAGCACTCGAACGCTGCCCAAAATAGCAAAATTTGTGCTGCCCAGCGTGTTTGAGCTATCCAGGACAGCATAAATAATGTCCAAACTGTTTCCCAACACACCTAAGCTATCCAGGACAACAAAACCAACGCCCAGGCAGCTAGCCAGTGCGCCTGGGTTGTCCAGGACAACAAAATTAGCACTCAGGCAGCTGCCCAGCGTGCTAGAACTGCCCAAAACAACCCCTTTTTCGCTGCCCAGCTCGCCTAAGAAGTCCATCTTTTTTTTCTCCGTGCCTATCCAGGTTAGGAGCCATGCCAAAAACACCAAAACCCACATGTGAAGAGCTTGAACCAGCGCCCAAAACAACGCCTGAACTAGCGCCCAAAGCAGCGCCTATAGGCGCTTGCACGGGCGGCTGCTAGTGTGCGCAAATGGCAGTGGCGGCTAGCGGGGATTTTTCCCCTCCTCCTCCTTCGATCCTTGCAACTTCAAAAGCTCCAAATACCCACCTAAAAAAAAAACTTGAGGCATGCAAAGCAAAAATGCATTGTGGAGGGAAAGAGTCATCTAGCAAGGAAGTCTCCATCACTTATAACTCAAGAAGCAAATTAATGCACCTTTCTCCAAGTTTCCTTGAACACAGGGCATTGGGGGGCAAATGATGGGTCAAGCCCAAAATGGCCCAATCTATGTGTAAAGTCCAAATTCCAATTGAGAAATCCAACCTCATTTAAAGATT